TGTTGCTGTATTCTCAATATCTGTGCCATCATCTGGTGAGGCTACATAAACAATCAAACAAATTAATTTAATAGTGGCTAATATATAATCACTATAAGGCTGCTCTATGTCTTTTCATGTAGATTTTTACAGAGCATACACTTTACAGTATACACTGTAAGAGCATCGCCTCGCCTAACCACGCATCACTGATCTAAAATAAGACTGGATAGCACAACCTGTTGACAACTGGAGCAGAAAACGAGCTATGTCTCTCCTTTGTAAAATGTCGTTCAAATTTTAAATGTACTAGATTGCTATATTATTTTCAATTGGAACTTATATAAAGCATCTCAAGTAATAAATTTCCACAATACTACTGTATAAATTAATGCTATCAGTTGGTACCTCATTAATGCTATCAGTTGGTTTACACAATAGATGCACAATCCAGTCTTATGTTCAGATCAAACAGCCCCTGAGTGATGCAAAGCATCTTTTACCTGAAAAACCAATGTCTTCAATGTAATCATTTAAGTACTTGTATATATCAATTTCGTTTGTTTTCATGTTTGAGCCTTCCTCACTAAATTCACCATGTATATGGTCCAGCATGTAATCAACACTTGGCACAAATGTATCTGACATAGTAAACAGATATTTCATTGCATCTTTGTTTTGTTTGATCATCTTCAATAGGCTGTTGCGGTATATCGATATATCGATAATTATCGTTTTTTTATAAATACCGATAACTCGATATTGAAATTTTCGATATATCGGAATATCGATATTTTTCGGTATTATCGATATCGCGTTTACATTTGTATATTTAAACGTCATATCAAGCTTTTTCAAGCTCTGTTTGGAGTTATTTCAGAAGGACAAAGACGATCAATGTGCTAACTTTGCGGGGAAAAGTTAGGGCGAGAGCTAAAACGTGTTTGTTTACGTTGGCGTTGCAAAGTGCAATACATAATTTCGCTTGTCAAAAAGTAAACTTTTAGAACGTAAACAACGGTGGACCGTGGATTACAAATGTTTAAAAAAAACACAAAAACTAACCTCACTGGACATTGTTTATCTGATAGAATAATCCTTGTTTCGAACTCGCAGTTGAATAATATGTTTTGAAACAAATTTCCCGGCCAAAATATCACACTTGATTCATCCTAAGTGCGGATAATCAATGCAAATATGCATTTTCAATTCCCAAAGCGGACATTTCACGGGCTACCGATCACTGGCCCAACACTTTATTGAAAATATCCCGCACCTGATGAGTCAGAAATCTAAAATTAGAATAAATAGACTATTTTTGTCGTTTTGTGACAATCTACATTCCAGACCCATTGTTACTGTTTCACTTGAAGACTAACATTCAGAGTATCAACATGCCAAGCGCTGTCTGGAATCATTTTAAGAAAGTAAAAGATGATCCCCAGTGTCAAATCTGTGGGAAAATCGTCAAGAATAAGGGAAGTAATACTTCAAACCTCATGTCTCATCTCAAGACAAATCACTACATGATATACAGCACGTTGCAAAAGAATATAAAACAAGCTTCGTCTCCTCGCAACATAGTCTCTTCAACTACAAGTACCAATGAAGGCAGTGAATGTTCACCTAGAAAGCCATGCCAGCCAAGCATTTTTGAAGCTATATAAAAACAAGGTACACTGCCGTCAAGTAATAAACGCGCCAAAGAAATCACGGATGCCATTACGCATTTCTTGGCAAAAGACAGCGTTCCATTTAATGCTGTCGAACGCCCCGGCTTTAAGCGTTTACTTCGCGTCTTAGAGCCACGTTACGAAGTCCCGGCAAAGTCGACATTCTCAAGAGAGCGTGTGGTCAAACTTTACGACGCGACGCGAAAAAGAGTTCTGGGTGAACTGAAAGATAGCGTGGATTTTTTTTGCTGCCACAACGGACATGTGGTCTTCACACGGCATGACGCCCTATATTGGCTTTACCTTGCACTGGATTGACGATGAATGGAACTTAAAAAATCGGTGTCTAGGAATGAAATATGTGCCCGAGGATCATACCGCGGAAGAACTCGGTAGTTGTTTAGATGATATCCTAACCTACTGGGGACTTGACCCAGCAAAGATGACTGTGTTAACAACGGACAATGGGGCAAACATCGTCAAGGCGTGCAAAGACAAGGAATGGAACAATATCACCTGTTTCGGTCACAACCTTCATCTGGCAATCACGAACACTATAGCAAAAGAACCAAATCTGAAGCGTGCAGTGGGTGTTTACAAGAAGAGTGTTGCAGCCTTCAATATGAGTTGGAAAAGAAAAAAGGCTCTTTCAGAAGCACAACTTCAAGAAAATCCAGAAAACCCTCCATTAAAACTCGCGTCGGTATGTACTTTCGCATTGTTTGTTCCTTCACACTTCACAGTTTATTAAAAGATTTCTGTTTGCATCATACGACAATGTTTTCCTTTTAGATGAACGGCTTAGCTTTGACTTTTGCGTTTGTTTTATTTTAATTTTGTCTTTTTGTTTCTTTAGGAATGCTCAACTCATTGGGGATCTACCCACAAGATGATTGCGAGAGTCCTAAAGAATAAGAAGGCCATTCGTCGTGTACTTGGTGACGACAGGGATACGGCTCACTTGGTGCCAAAGTGGCAAGACATTGAAGTCTTGGAAGCAGTCGATGCCGCTCTTGCACCTCTTGCTGATTTCACCGACATCATGAGTGGAAGCGAATATGTGACAATATCAGCGCTCACACCAATCCTTCGTCGGCTCAAAAACGAAGAACTCGCTGCAAAGAATGGAGACCTGCCAATGACTGTGTCCATTAAGAAGAAGATATTGAAAGCCCTTCAAGTCAAATATTCATGTGAAGAAAAAAAACTGTTGATGGATATCACGTGCTTTCTTGATCCAAGATTTAAGGTACAGTATTAGCCGCTTAATAAAACTGCATATTTTGTGTGCAACATAATTAAGAAATATGCAAAAATTAGCGTAAGCGGCTCTCCTGTATTGTAGGGTTTTGAAGTGAACTGTTTACTCTACAGTTGGTAATTAATTACTAATTCTAATATTTGTTATATTATATATATTTTGCAGACCGACTTTTTTACTGACAACGACGAAGATTGCGATGTTGAATCGATGGTCGAGTCAAGCTCAAGCGAGTTTGCTGTTGTCAAGAATGCTCTTTTAAAGGAAGCTGTGTTCGTCACAAGCAATGCATCTGAAGATGAACCATGCCAACCACCACAGAAGAAAGTCAAGAAGACGCTTGGCTCCATCACTAGCATGCGGAAATCGTCTCAAGTGTCATCGCCAGCGCAGTCACTGCGGGATTTATTGGAAAAGGAGATGAAGAAATATGTGAATACAGACACAATCGATGGTGACAATGATCCTTTGTTGTGGTGGAAATGCCACGGTCGAGACTTCCCAATGCTCAGTCAGTTGGCACGAAAATATCTGTCAATTCCTGCAAGCAGTTCGCCGTCTGAGAGACTATTCAGTAAAGCCGGTCAGATTGTCACCGCACAAAGGTCTCAGCTAAAGCCAGAACAAGCAAATATGCTTGTGTTTCTGGCAGAAAATTTGTAAATAGAACTATATTGTTAAACATCTTTTAATAAATACAAGTTACAAAAATAGTAAAACATCTCTGTTGTTATATCCCAATATGCCGCGGCTGTTTGGCGTTATTTGAAAACAGAAAATTTGCGTAAAATTAAGCAAATTTGGCATAAAATTAAACAAATTACAATCGCGAAAAAATATTGATATATCGGTATTATCGGTATTTTTTTTCCGGTATCGGTTTTCGTTTTTTTTCAAATACCGCAACAGCGTAATCTTCAATGTGTCGTTTGCATTTAAGCCAGTTACAAGCTGATCCAACATTGGTAGAAACTTTGCCACATCAAACATAATTAATGACCTAAAAATAAGATCAAACAATATACAATACACTTAAGAATCCATTCACAACCTTTTACAGGCCAAGATAACTAAAGATATATTGAACGTATGGGTCCATAATATTATAAAGTGATAGCATATGGCATGGTTGGGAGCTTTAGTAAAAGGCCCTCAAGACTTTTACTAGACCTCCCTCAGCTTTCAGACTCTTTACATGGCACTCCTCTGCAACCCAAGGAGCACAAATGCTCCAAATTTGTCTTCTCCATTAACACTTCCTGAAGACCTGCATCAGTATAGTTGCTTCGTTAATCTACAACAGTTCATGCATATAACATAAATTGTTAACAAGAAAACTCACTTGAATTCAAAACATTTTCACTCAAACCAGACTATAGTAGGGATCAACTTATGTGCACATAAAAGAACATAATTAACAAAGGGATATTCCAATTTTTATCTGCATCCCCTGTTGAAGAAACTGTTAATTTCAGGTGCGTTACATAATACCTCAAGTTATCCATGGAAGTTGCAAGGAGGGGTGTACCTCATATCAATCGTTAACCCATTGAGTGGCAGCACTCTCCACTTGACGAGTAAAATCGCCTGGCGTTAGACAGAGTAAAATAATAAAGAAGGCGCATCAGGGTGCATTGCCACTTAATTAATAGGTTAATTAGGTAGGACTTAATTTGGGAGTCCTCAGTCCTGTTGTCTGTACCTTCAATCATTTTGTTGATTGTAAAGTTTATAAATAAATATATAAATTTCACAGTACTATACATGCATGCACTGTATAATGAATAAGTGTAACCTACTCTAAGCTCCAGTGAACCCTTTATATTTGTCTACTTGATTAATTAGCAATCTAGCTTCATCCCGTATCCGGTCTGCCCATGTAGTTGTGGTCACACTTTCCATACCAGAAACCAGGTAATCAAACACTTCCTCAGTAAAAATACATGGTGCAGGACCACCTTGAGCAAAAGAGATGGTCATAAGCTCCCGTGCAATTCTGAACTCATCATTTATCAAAGCAGTGATACTGTGCATAGGAAAACCATCACGAAATAGCCGTTGTTCCACTACTTGTAATATCTCTATAATAAAAAACAAAATAGATAAAACTTTTAATCGATTAAACTGAAAGGTTTTATGTGAAGACAAAAAATTGTGTGACTTCAGAGGTGGTTCAGATGGAATTTTGTGTGGAGTATAGTTAAAAGTTAATCAAATGTAATTTACAAGCCAGCAGGCAAAATTTTGCAAACACCCTAATTAATGACTGGCCTTCAAGGTGAGGAGTAGGGTTCCCAACACTCCAACAGAATCTACAGGTAGGTGGTATACATAATGACTACAATTGTAAGTCTTCACAAACCTGAGAAAAACTCTCGCCGAGGTCCTCCGTCATCAATTGCAGGTTCACCAATAAATATGACTTTGAATACTTTGCCAAGGTCAAACCATGGTTTCTTCCTAATAGCTATAAAATCTTGAAAAGTATTCTCTCTTCTCACATTTATCCTCATTTTATTTACGAAATCCACCTTCAATGAATTATAGTGAAAAAAATAGTGTGCATCTAATAACAGAAGACTATCCACACGGAATTTAAAAAGTGGTACAGTGTAACCTGTGCTATTTTCATTTGGTCAGGAACAATGTCAAATTGTAGGGGTGCACCGGAACTCGGTTCCAGCCAGTTAGTTCCGGCGTGTCTAACAAAAGTTCACAGTAGGAAAAGCTTTGGACTACACAAGTAAAATGTACAGTATTAACACTTCATTATCATGATGTTTAACGTTTGTCAATCTTTTTATTCTAACATCTGTGAGCTCTCTTCTTGATGACGTGAAGTGTCTGCCTACATGTATTATATGGCTTAATAAATTGGTTCAGGTTCCGACGGAACTTAACAAATCGGTTCCGGTGAACCTCTATCAAATTGGATGCTTTGGACAGATTATCGGCAATACAAACCAGTGGTTCAGAAATTACACTGTGAGCAGTCCCTCGGGAAAAAGGAGGGACCGCCGACAACACATCAAGAAACAAAATATATATACACCCACTTCTCACTCTTGTCGAGTTAGCTCCGCCTTTGCATAAACATTACTTATATCCAATTAAATCTATCCAATATGAACCATTAATGTCATGTTTATTTATAAAATCAACATTCAGTCTGGAAATTATTTATAGCATAATTATTACATATCAGATTTGATTGACAGGCGTATCGATTTCGACCAATGGGAATTTTGCGTTGTGTGAGCAATGCGTATTTCATTTCTTGATGTGTTGTCTTAGTGATAGGCAGTGATGAACTTGAAAGCTTCTGGCTACTTTGATCACTGCGCACAATAATTTATTTGTAATCATTGTAACTTAATTTTTTTGTGTAGTAACTGTGTATCTGTCGTATTAATATATATGTTTATATAATTGTGCAAATTTGAATAAAGTCTAAAAAAAGTCATATCAGATATAAACAAAGTGACTATACAGCCGGCAGCTGGGTATTTAGTAAACTGACGGCTATATAGTTAAATATAAAAAAACTTTAGATATAGGAATTTCTAAGATATTACTAGTTATTTAGATCTATGAATTCAGTCACACATGAATTAGTCAGAATAACAACCACACATTAGCAAACGATGACATCATGCATTGGCAAATATGTTAATATGCATGTGTCTAATAAAAAAAGGGAGTAATTAGCATTAGTGTAAAAGTAGATGTTTAAGTGGAAACGTTTGTTCAAAAAACAAAATCAAGTGAAACATTCCACACACACAAAAGCACAAAGGTTTGAATGACTCACAAAATGGATGTAAAAACACCCCAAAGGTTACATGCAGCTACATAAAATCCATCAGTATTGGAAATTTGTCTGGGGGGGGGGAAATTTTCGATGGGGGGGGGGGTAAATTTCCTGTGACACCGGACTTTGACAATCTGTATGTTCAAACATAAATTGTGGTGACAAAGCAAAAAGCTGTTTATTCCTCTACTCAAAAGCACTGAAATTTGTCGCAAAATGAAAAACATTTAACGTAAACGCCAGGTAAGAATTTTGACTAAACCAAAATTGTTTTGTGTGTGAATATGTACATTGCAAGGAAATGGCAGACATGCAGCTTTCCAAATCTGGCTAAAAAAAACAATGCCTTTTTAACTTGAAATAAATCTTTTGCAAGAAATATGTGTGTGAAAATATAACTTGTATTCTCAAGCAAAATCGGTAATCTAATATCTATATACTAAATATAGTTATTAATAGGATGAAGTAAGATCTTTCATACTTGCTTGTTTGTCAGACTAGAGTAAACACATTGGTGCAATGTTGTTGAGCATACCGTTTTGAAAAGAACACATGTCAGAAATGATCTGGATTGTCAACTAAAAGCAGACTTTTAAATTTTGATGTTTTATCTGCACAACGCCACTTGATTACTTGTAAAGTATGCTTGAGCTAGTTTTGGTGTAATTACGCCATTCTTTTAGAGAGACTATCACAGTGTTATGGAATCGGAGACACAGTTCTACAATGGTTTTGATTATATCTTTCTGATAAAACACAGTTGGTTATTGTTAGAAATAACTCCTCCACCAACAAAACCTTACAATTTGGTGTACCGCAAGGTTCTAAGGATATCCCAAAATATGTGAGGATATCTTGGTCATGAGACCAAGCATGTTGTTTATAATTTCAAAAAGGCTGATTGGGTCGGTCTTAATGAAACACTCCAGCACACCCCATGGGACATGTGTTTTGTTCCTAATAATGTTGATTCATCCCTCTCCCACTGGTGTGATTTTTTACATTTGCAGCTAATGCACACATCCTGAAATGCTTGATTAAAAATGTACATAACCACCCATGGATTGATGCTGAAAAGTCTAACTTAAGACAAAAGAATATTATAAGAAAGCAAACAAAATGGGTTCAATTAATGACAATGTGAAATTCCAAAGCTTAAGGAAATCAGTAAAACAATTTATGCGGAAAAATCTTTCTTCATCACAGGACTATGATGTTGAAACAGACATAATACTATATCCATATTCTGATCATGATCTTATTCATGTGTTATTAGACAAAGGTAGACTAAACTAGCAGTAATGTTGGTCCAGGTTTAAAAGTCTCATCAAAAGAGAAAGAAGTTTGTGAGCAAATCGCTCTATTTTGGGCCCATTGGAAAGTTCGAAAACAAGATGTTGGTAATGTAGCTGAATAGTGGGACTCCTGCAAGTTAAGAGTTAAATCTCTCTTCTTCTAAAGTGTAGTCAAAAAGAATCACAAAAGCAAGAACGTGCAACAGTACTTAATCAATATCAGGAGGAGAGCGGTTAAGAAAACATGTCATGTTCTACACATGAATGATGGGTGAAGAGTGACCGATAAAGGCGATATCACAAATGATCAGGTTCGATTCTATAAGGAACTTTATTCGAAAATGCCAACAGTACAGTCAAAGTTGCTTGAGATTGATTGTTAGACGTACTTGACAGGAAACTAACAGATGAGCAATGTGATTCATGGGAGTGGCAGGTAACAGATGGTGAATGTTTGGTTGCTGTAAAGTCCATGGCATATGGCAAAAACCAGGATCAGACAGTCGACTGAAAGAATTTTACCTGACCTATTGGGACCTGTTAAAAGATTTGAAATGGCAAATTATTGTCATTGAGTCCATGCACTCTCCTCTGCAGAGTCAATTGTATAGGTTGTAGAGGTAATGTAGGGATATTAGAGGATATTTAGTTGTGCACGAAGACTCTGCCATATGTAACATATGCTAGTGATTATATGGTTTAATAGGGATTAAGTAATAAGAGACGTTTTATATAGATATCTGATGACAGGTAGAGACTGGGGGAAATGTGATTGTATACAAGACGAATATAACAACAAGAGCTCTTTTGAAATAGTATTGTTTCCTTGTTTGTGTATATTACATTTGGTGCCGTGACCAGGATGGCAACGTCGA